TAGCAGCAATAGAACCCGGCTCCCAGTCCTCCCTGCTCCCCTCCCAGGGCTGGGGATAGAACCCAGGAGTCCTGGCTCCCAGCCCCCCTGCTCTAACCACTAGACTCCACTGTCCTCACAGGGCTGGGGATAAAACTCAGGCGTCCCGACTCCCAGCCTCCCTGCTCTAACCACTAGACCCCACTCCCCTCCCAGAGCTGGGGATAGCACCCAGGCATCCCAGCCCCCCGGCCCCCCACTCTAACCAAGCACAGCCAGGCCCAGAGAGTCCTGCCCCTGGTGTTCTTATCCCCCTGCACCTTTGCCGGGGTCGGGCGCCTGGGGCTGGAACGCTGCCCCCTGGGGGCCAGGCGGGGTGCTCACCTGTACCACAGGCCCTCCGTGTCACCGGGCATGCTGAATCGGGCACGGTAGTTGGAGAAGTTGCTGGGGGGGGGGGGAAGAACAATTAGGGCTGCAGCGGGTGTGTGTGAGGGAGGGTGTGGGGGGGTGGATTTAATCCTGCCCCCTCCCAATTCCCAGACTGGCATCTCAAGCATCTGTAATGCACCCCTCACCCTGGCCTCTAGGCTGCCGCTCCTAGTCCCTCTCCCGGGAGCAGATGGAGACACCTCCGGCTCCGCCACCTCTTCCCCCACCCCAACCGCAGGCTGAGAGGCTCCCAGGGCAACAAATCCCCCTCCCCCATAATCCCATCAGGCCTGTATAGACCCATAAATCCCCTCTGAGCCAGGTGCTCTGGCAGTTCCCTGCAGGGGCACGTCCTGCGTGTGTCCGACAGGGGGCGCTGTTCAAGCATGGAGCAAATAAACCCCACCAGAGGTCAGTGGCCAAGGCTGGGAGGGAATCCGCGGGCAGCGTCTGGGGTGGGGAAAGGGGAGAGAGCTGGGGGGTGGCTGAGGTGAGGGAGGGGCAGAGCCAGCCGTCGCGCCCATAGGCACCCCGTGCGAGATCCGCCCACTCACTATTTCTCCTCGTGGTTCCCCGGGCACGTCATATACGGCACCGACGCAGCGACGGGCTCGATCTTGCGCATGAAGGCGTCTCCGACCATGGCGTTACACTACACCCCAGAGAGAGTCGCATCAGCCGAGGCACCTGGGAATGCTGTGCCCTCGGAGCGCATTTACACACCTGGGGGCTGTATGGCCACGTGCATGGAAATGGGTGGGCAGATCCGTGTGCAAATGCAACACGCGTGTGGGTTTGCATACATGGCCACCAGGGCAAGGATGGGGAGTGGGGTGGACGGGCCCAACCCGCCTGCCATTGTTGCTTCAATTCCCATCGTAGGCGACACAGCTCCCTGGCACATCCCAAAGCAGCTCCAATCTCCCATGGGCCTGGGCTCATAATACCGGCCTCCTGGGCCAGTCGCCGTGTACGGGAATCAAACCCACGTGCCAGCCTCTGCCAGCTGGGTTAGCTCCAGGGCTGGAGCAGCTTTGTAAACCTCGCTGAGTCCATGAGACACCCAGGGGAGAGATACCCGACCAGGCCGGGTGGGGACGCACACAGGTGGACGTGCATTCATGGGGGCCCAGAAACCCTGGGAGCTGAGCACACAGCCCCTTCTCCTGGGGGATCCCTCCCGACGTCGGCCCTGGATCTCCACCGCAGAGACGCCAGCGAGTGGGGCCAGCCCCCCGAACATGGAGGGGAGCGGGATGGGGCGCAGCCGGAGGAGAAGGGAAGGCTCAGGCGGCAGCGTGGCTACAGAATTTACCTGGTCCATGTCATAGGCAAAATCCCCTGGG